GCGGCCCACGACGTAAACAACCACTCAGGCCCTCTGTCGCGCGCCCAAGAGCTAGGCGAAACTCGAAATGCCCTCCTGGTCTTCATCCTCCTCCTACTCCCCACCACCGTTTGCTATAGCCAGTTCCTGCTCTGGCCCATTCGAGCAGATGGCCAAGCGGCCCAGGCTAGCAGATCTTGGAAGGGAGTCGTTCGATTCCGCCTTCAGCATTACTCGTTTATTATAGCGCATCAACACTGAAGGTTTGCCTGATGCATTCTCGGAGAAGACGCAGGCGCGCCGTCGGCACCAGGTTGCCTCCAAGGACACTTCGCGCGGGCAGCTTGTCCAGGAGATTTGTATACCAGTCGATGGGGAGGGGGCCCGTCAGTATATGGTTACAGCATCCCTTTGCATGGTCGGAGGTGGCTTGCAGCAAATCTGAACACTTCCGCTCTATAGTGCAAGCTACGTTTGACGCCAGCGGGGGGGCCCTTGGGGGTGGCTCTCCACAGCGACGAGGTCGCCCCAGGGAGCCCCCTGGCAGGGCGCAGCAAACGAAAGTTGCAGGCGTGCTATTGGAGTCTTACAAACTTTGGCGGAGCAGCGCTGTCGTGCGAAAGTGTGTGGTTCACCATGTGTTGAATGAAGAGTGCATTGGTTGATCAGCTTCCTGGAGGGATGGGCGGGCTGTTCAAACACTTGCATCGGTTTTTCTTTGGCGGGGAATCCAAACCCGACTTGCGGCATGGGGTAAGAGTGCACTTGGGCGGGCAATCCGGGCATTGTTTGGTTGGCTGGGCCCCTGGCCGTCCTTGCCCAGGAAAAAGGGGCGCATTAATTTTCACTGCGTTGCAAATGCGCGGGGGGGGGGGGGGGGGAGGGCGCAACGTGTGCGGCCCGTGCAAGAACGTGCTCAAACATTCATATTCGTGGCTGCCAGATGGCAGCGGTTACTGCGTCATCTCCATTGAAGTAGACGTTGCGAAAGTCGGCTTGCACGCGATGTCTTCCATCATCGGCGTTCAGGCCCTGCTCAGGGAGAAGTGCAATGCTCATGGTTTAGAGGGCGCTGATTCGCAGTTGGGGTACAGCTACTTCGAGACAGGATTCATGCAATATTCGAGCTTTTGAATGCTGTTAACATTCCGAGGGTATGGGCATGGGACTTCATGCGTATACATTTTGTCGACGGCATATGGTTCAATGAACTCAAGGAACTACTGGCCCGCCTTCGCCCTCATAACTTAGGAGCGCCAGTGTATGACCCGTATCTCCAACAGTGTTCTTGGCCAGGCTCGTACGGTAGCGGACGCGAAGTGCGTAGGAAACACGCCGGTTACATCCCAGGTGGATCGGCCAGCGAGCAGCTTTCAGTCAGTCCAGCATTCGAGAAGTATTTGGTAGAAGTTGTCCAGGGCAGTGGGTTCTGCAGTGGTGAGGTAGAAAGTTGCATCGAGCCCTGCAAAGTTGTTGGGCCCCTTTGCACTGTGAATTCGGGGTTAGTGTCGCCAATGGAACTTGGCATTGCAATCGCAGCTCACTCGTCAGCGAATTTAGCCGTGTACGGAGATGCCCTGTGGAAGCCCAAGAGCCATTGGGCGCTCCACCTTCCACGGCAGCTACTGGTGCAAGGGCTGTTGCTGAGCACGTTTGCAATGGGGCGGAAACACCGCGCGCCCAAGCGGTGCGCTTCGAACAGGAGACATTTGAAAAGGATACGACAAGGGTATGATGGAGGACCTCACAGCGCAGCATTAGCATGATCTCCATGAGCCTATTTTGCGCGAGGGTCTGTTGAACCCCCAAGCAGCCTAGCAACTCCGGGATGCGATCGTGAGCGTGCTGCCGAAGTGCAGCGCCTCGAACTTCATGTGTGCCAAGGCTGTTCAGGTTATTTCCCGAGCAGTTCAAGTCGGCGACGTCGTCGCCTTCAAGCGTCCAGGTGGCCGCCCTGCGTTTGGCCAGGTATTCTTCAACATGTGTTTGGACGGCCGAGTGATGTCCTGCATATTGGAGTGGCCTGTTGTTGAGACTGGGGGGGGGGGAATGGCGGGATGCAGGCACGTCGACCAGCCAGTGTTGACGTGTATTTTTGTAATTGTTGAGGCGTGTATTGTTTGGCCAGCTGGCCTCGGGGAGATCGCGCCAGGCATCCTGACTCCGAGGATCCAGCTGCGCGCCAGCAGGATGGAGTAGAGTCGACGGGGGTAGGGGTGGGCAGCAACCCGTATCATCATAGGGGAGGGGGTGGGCCCATCTCTGACGTGGTGTTTTGTATAGCTGCTCTGCGGGCCGCGACAGGGAACCAACACATCATCATAACCCTTCACAGGTGAGGTTCCGCCTGCCAGTTGAGGCAGATCTGAAATCTGAGCATGACCCTCCTCTCGGATAAGCCCTGCGAGGTCTATCACACGGTGTCCTCGGGGCAAACAGCCTCCAGCATGCGATGATTAAACATGCGATGCTTGTTTGTCCAAATTCCATGGGGGGGGGGCTCGAAAATCAGGGGGCGGGGGAGGGGCGTGTGAGAGCGAAACCTCATGCCAATACTATAAAATCATGGCGCCGAAATGCACCCCCCGCCCAAAGCTCCAGAATCTATTGAACGATCGCCATCAACATATGACTGTATATAGGGTGTGGGAGGCCCAGAATGGGCGCTCCCGATGTTGTCGTTGCTGCTTGGTTATTGCCACTATGTGGCCCGAGATTTGTTGCCTTCCCTTCGCGTGCGAAACACTCCCAAGTGTTTCCATCGGGGCACGCTACGTTGAGCCGAGCGCCCACCCGCAGGGGGCAGGTGGCAAAGA